CCATTCCATGATTCTATGAAATAACTGTTCCTGTGAAAAGACAAGAGGTGAACCGTTCCCAGAATCCTCACCTTGTGTTAGCCCAGTTCATACTTGTTTAGATGAGCCTTTCCAAAAAACACAAAATCCATTTTTGACACTCTGAGGTGGGTTTCAAAACTTTAAAATGCTAAATACAGTTAATAGTTTGTGAAATACCAATAGATCTTGCCCCCCGCCCTCTTTCTAACAGGCGATATGGTGCTCAGGAGCTGTGCCCTGGGAAGCGTGGCTAGTGAGCAGATTCCCTTCCCTGCAAACTACCGGCAGGAGGAAAGCTTTGTTTCCGAAAGTCCCTCTCCTTTCCCTCCTTTCCGGTGGGATATGGAGAAGTTGCTCCTGCGCTTCTCTCCCTTACCCGGCGCGTTTTGCTTCCCTGCGGAGTTCCCGTGTCTGTCTCTTTACTGTGGCTGACCACGCGTGTTTCTCTGGCAGGGCTGGGGTTTGCTGGGGCCCAGAAACGAGCTCTTCGATGCTGCCAAATACCGGCTCCTTGCTGACCAGCTCGGCTGTCCCGACGAGAGGTGGTGCTCGGAGGGCAAGTGGCGCTCCAAGTCCGGACCGTCTCTTGCCGACTTGTCAACTTGCTGGCGACGGATGGAGCCGGATGATTCCATCCAGCCCATGGAGCAGGGCAGGATGCCTAAAGCAATGAGGAGAGAAGAGCTGGAGGAAGGGGAGCTGGAGGAAGGGGAACTGGAGGAAGGAGAGCTGGAAGAAGAAGCAATCGATGTTTCTGATTATCTACCGATGGCACATCAGGACGCTCGAACCCCAGGCAGGGACGCGAGGTACGTCGGCCCCCGTAGCTGCTGATCCAGGGTAGTAAAGGGGGAGACTTTGCTTTGTAGCTGCCGCACCCCTGCGGTTCCTCACGCTTGAGCTGCAGCTCCCCACGTTGCTGGCGTGGCCTGTAGACGGGCCAGATGCTGACTGCTGTACGAGCAATAGCGAGGCAGCCTGGCTGCTCTCTCGAGGGGATGCCCAGGCATCGTCTGTGGGGTCTGCCTGCGAGTTTCCTGCCTTTCTTCCTCTTCTGTGCCTAAAGAGGGTGTCTTTCCCAGAAATGGTGCATGTGCAGTTTGTTCTTTTTTTGATCCTCTCGGGTTTTGAGGGCAACATGAAATCTGCTCCGTTCCATCACCATAGTTGCTTTGCTTGACTTTGTATTTTAAGAGCAGAAATCTTGGATTTTCAGTAGTCGACAGGAGTAAGATCAGTAAGGAGCTGGTGGTGGCTGTTTTTAGGGATGTTCCCTGGAATCAGAATTATTTATGCATTTAATCTGTTGATGCTGTCTGGTCTGTAGTGCAACCGTAAAGGTTTGATTGCGTTTTCGTAGACTGACAGATTTTAGCAGCGAGGTACAGCCTGACTTTTCAGATGACCAAAATTACCTGTGCCTTTCTCTGAGCACAGAGGGAATATTTGTGTATCAAACTCCTCTCATCTTCCATCTAGCCGAGGAGGGAGTTCCATTGAAATGACAGACGACAACACCGCCATCCGTGCCCTGACGCAGTTCCCACTTCCCAAAAATCTCCTGGCCCAAGTGATTCAGATTGCAACCTCTTCCTCCACCGTCAAGGTAAGGTGCTGTTTCACCCCTGCCAGGGACAAAGCTCAGGGACTGGCTGGAATCACTTTGGATGCTTTTTTGGGGCAGCTGAGAAGTGTGGGGAGAAGAGAAGTTAAAACTAGGCCTGGAAAAATCAGCGGGAAGAGCAAGGAAAGGATTTAGTGTCTTGGTAAAAGCCTGGGGAGTGTTGTTACTTGAGGCTGGGGCCATGGAGGAGCTGCTCTCTGAAGGAAGAAGGATGTTTTTGAAGGTGGCAGGTTTGCATTTCCTCGTGTAACTGTAACCAACACGAGTTTGTGTTGCTCAGAGCGGAGTGTAATTTCTGTGCTGACGGAATCTTTCCACCAGGCAATTCCTGCCAGTATCCGGTGATCCTCCTCCTCGGTGTGTGTCACCCGCTGCCTTTCCAAACCATGTGTGCTTAGCAGACAGGAGCTGTGCTCCACCCTGCAGGCTCTCAGGGCTGTTCCCCACACAGCTGTCTGCTCTCACTTCTGCTTAGCCAGTGCCTTGTGAGCTGGGGGAGTGCAATTCCGTGCAGTAAAGCCTCTCTGGTACACTGTTAAAAAGAAAACCACCCCAAAAAAAACCCAAACCAATTTGATTTCCGCTTAGAAGTATTTGAAAATGCCTGCTTAGTTCTGTAGGCTCTTAACACCTCCCCAAATGCAATGTCACTTGTGTCTTTTAGGAATACATGCAGTTCCGTACAGTAGGCACCAAGACCAAGATCTGCAAGCTCACGCTCCGCTGGCCCTGTCCAATGACTTTTGCTGCCAAGGGCCGTCGCAAGGTGGAGGCAGAAAACAAAGCGGCGGCGCTGGCCTGTCAGAAGCTTAAGGTGAGTGCTCGTGGCTCCTACGTCCCGTGTCCGGTGTGTCTGTCAGTAGAGGCTCCTTGCACCTGACTGCCCATACTTGATCCCAGTGGGATGATGCCTGAATCTTCCTGATCTTTGACTTTATGCTGCTTAAACAGAGAGAAGGCTCTGGGGAGAACTTACAGCACCTTCCAGTACCTGAAAGGGGCTACAAGGAAGCTGGGGGGGTTGTCTTTTTACAAGGGTCTGTAGTGACAGGACAGGGGGTGACGGGTTTAAATTGAAAGCGGGGAGGGTTAGATTAGATATCAGGAAGGAATTCTTCCTGCAGAGGGTGGTGAAGCACTGGGACAAGTTGCCCAGAGAAGCTGTGGATGCCCCATCCCTGGATGTCTTCAAGGCCAGGCTGGATGAGGCTTTGGGCAACCTGGTCTAGTGGAAGGTGTCCCTGCCTGTGGCAGGGGAGTTGGAACTGGATGATCTTTAAGGTCCCTTCCAACCCAAACCATTCCATGATTCTATGAAACACGGATTTCCAAACCTTAGGGTTCACCAAACTGCTGTTGTACCCGTCTAGTGTCTGACCTGCGAAGGCCGTCGTGCTTGTTTTGAGCCCTCAGCAAAAGGGATGTGTAGGTCACCCTGGAAGTGTCAGTATGTTCTCTTGGCCACCTCCTGCTGACCACGAAGACAAACTGTCTCCTCCTTCTCGTAGGAGGACTAATCCGGCCACGTTGCTGCCGTAGTTTGACTGCAGGCTCCAGAGTGAGCGGAGGGGAAGTCCAAGAAGGTAGTGTAGGAGTTACTGAATTGGCACAACGTACCAGAACCGTAGCGAGTTAACAGCCCTGGCGCGCGGGTTTTGTCAGACAAGGCCGTGGCGGCTGTTTTTTGGCGGGGCTGTTGAAGACCACCTTGCCAGCTCTCTGCTGGGGGCAGTCGGCTCCAGTGTGTCCGTTTCACCGGAGTTGAGATGGGATCATGCCTTGTTTCTTGCTATGGCAAAAGCAGCAGATGGGTTTGGGATAGGGGGTAAGGAGCGGGACCCCCGTGCGCTGTCTACCAGCACTTCGTACGCAGCAGCCTTGTGTCTGAGTGGTGTTGGCCTCTTCCTTTGCAGAGCCTTGGCTTGGTGGACAAGAACAACAACCCCCTCAGCCATGCTATGTACAACATGACTTCACTCCGGGAGCTTGGAGAGAACCAGAGGAAACCTTGCCACATCAAAGTCCCCGAAGCCACGCTGCGCAAGATTGAGAACTACCTGAATCACGTAAGGCTTGCCCAGCTGTCTGGGAATCGCCTTTGGCTCATCCCGTTTAACTTCAGGAATTGCACGCGGGTCAAAAGCTTCGTGTGACGGTGTCGAGGGAATTTGTGGCCTGATACTTTGCCACAAAAACTGATCAGCCTATGCTGACCTTTGGGGAAGGGAGATGCATTCTGGGCAGTGGGCCCTTCCTGTATGCATCCGTGATGTTTGCTTGCGTTATTTGCCTCTTGGGATGTTATGGAGTGCAGTTTTGGCTTGGTTCTAGCCTTCCCTGTAGGCCTAGGAATGCTGCCTTGTACAGGCTGTGCTTCCACCCAGCTACAGGGTGCCGGTACTTGTGCGTTTCCCTTGGGAGTCTGTTCGACGTGGGTGGTGGGTGCAGGTCCAAGCACCCGATCGTGCTTTCACCCAGGGGATCTGGTCTCTTCCCGCGGGGAGCGGATACCCGTGGGAGCTGCAGCAGTGCTGAGCCAGGGTTCCTTAGGAGCGTTCGCTGCCAAAGCAGGAGTTAGAGCCAAGGTAAGATGAGGTTGAGCGTAGCTCAGGTACACCTGTGTGTGGCTTATTGCAGTCGTTGAGAACAATGCCCACGTTTGGAAGTTGGCAAGTCACTGAGGCAGTGCTCTTGGGCCTGAGCAGTAAAGATCCCGGTAAAAAAACAGTAAACAAAGCAGAAGTGAATGTCCTAGAAAGCCAAAACTGTGCCTAAACCAGCTTCTGAATGATCTGCTTTAAGTGGCTGAACTAAGGGCCAGGAAGGGTAGAAAACCCTGAAGAAGTTGGGTCTGGCGTGACCATGAGCCGTCACACTGGGCGTGGGAGGCTCGGCATTGCGACTGAGTAAGGCCGAATCCAAAAGGACTCGTAGCTGAGCTTCTAATCCCCGACCGTCTGGGCCACTGCTTTGTGTTCTAGACCATTCCTGACCTATTGTTGCTCCCTTCAGTTCTTCCTGTGGGATGTGGGACTTCTGTTTTTTCTTTTGCCAAGACGGAATATTTCTGGCTTAGCTGAATGCGTAACGTTTTGTGCCGGTTTCGCGGCGGGGCTTCCTGAGGGAGAGAAGGGTGGTGGTGTAACTTGATAACTTCCAAAAGTTGTCTTTGAGGGGCCCCTGCATCACTTGCACGCGGTGTAGCCACGGACTTGGAGAGCTTAAGTGACTCTTTTATGCCTGTCAATTCAGGCATCAGCGCTAACATCCCTTAAAACAGGGGATGCAACGAGGAAAAGGAGCTGCCCCAGTTAATTCTTGCTTTCAGTAAACTCAATTCAGACTGTAAGTGGCTGAGTTACCTAAAATCTGAGAGACTCAGCTCACTGCAAAGCTGGTGTGGCCGAGCCTGTTCCAGACACTTGTTTCTTTCTGTCCTTCTCAGGACTGGTACTGATATTTTTGTCCCTGCCAACTTTCTCCGTCTCTCCTAGTACCCAGTGGACATCAGGGAGTCCAGGCCCCGGATTGCTGATGACATGATGAACCTGAGCAAGGAATCTGGTGCGATAAGCGATGCGATCACGGGGAAGACCTATATACCCATGTTGGAAGCAGAGGAAGTGCGCCTTAGCCAGAATCTCCTGGCCCTCTGGAAAAGGAGAGGATCCTCATGGCAGGAGAGCCACCCGCTGCCAGTAGATCCTCACAAGGACACCATCCTGTCAGCCATTGAGCAGAACCCTGTTGTGGTAATAGCGGGAGACACAGGCTGTGGGAAAACCACGAGGATCCCTCAGCTCCTGCTGGAACACTACATCCTGGAGGGACGCGGCGCCCGCTGCAACGTCGTGATCACCCAGCCGAGGAGGATCAGCGCCATCTCCGTCGCTCAGCGCGTGGCTCAAGAGTTGGGTCCCAACATGAGGAAGAACGTGGGCTACCAGGTTCGACTGGAGAGCAAGCCCCCTGCCCGGGGAGGAGCCCTGCTCTTCTGCACCGTGGGCATCCTGCTGCGGAAACTGCAGGGCAACCCCAGCCTGGAGGGCGTCAGCCACGTCGTGGTCGATGAGGTCCACGAGCGAGATGTCAACACTGATTTCCTGCTCATCCTGCTGCAAGGCCTCCCGCAGCTCAACCCCGACCTGCGCCTGGTCCTGATGAGCGCCACCGGGGACAACCAGCGTTTCTCCCATTATTTTGGAGATTGCCCCGTGGTCAAGGTGCCGGGATTCATGTACCCGGTGAAGGAGTACTATCTGGAGGAGATCTTGGCCAAGCTGGGCCGGCACCGACACCGGCACTATGAGATCAAGGTGGGTGATGAGGGTGACTTCAGGTGTATCGGCAAGGGGCAGTTTGGGCCTGAATCCGGTCCCTCTTCCCTGTGGTTGTTGGGCCGTGCTGGCTTGGCTTTACCTCCACCTCAACCCTCGTGCGGTGAAGTCGCCTCGGTTATGGCTCACAGCAGCCTGTTACCTCAGCGCTCGCCGTCCTGCGCCACCGAATTCCCTTCCTGCTGCTTTTTGCAAGTAGTCCTCTGGAAAACACTCTCCAGGCGTGTCCTCTTTGCTGTGGGAGGTCTTATTTCAGTTGTCGAGTTGCAGAATTGTCGGTTGGCTGGGACCTTTAGATGTTTGTTGGTCCAGCCTTCTGGACTAGAAGCCATCAGCCCGTTTGTCCGGCACGCAGAGGTCTGTCCCTGTGGCTGGTGTATCAGCCACTTCTCCTGATTCTGTGTCATCAGCGCACTTGCTGAGGGTGTCCCGTTGCCTTCACAGAGCCACATGATGGTTTGGGTGGGAAGGGACCTCAGAGCCCCCGCAGTGCCACCCCCTGCCATGGGCAGGGACACCTTCCATAGCCCAGGTTGCTCCAAGCCTCATCCAGCCTGGCCTTGGACACTCCCAGGGATGGGACGTCCACAGCTTCTCTGGGAACCTGTCCCAGTGCTCCCACCCTCTGCAGGAAGAATTCCTTCCTGATGTCCCATCTCCATCTCCCTCTTTCCGTTTAAACCCGTCACTCCCTGCCCGTGTGAGATTGTCCCTTCAGGGCTGGGTTTTCCACCTGCACTTTTTCACCTGGCCTGATACAGGAGCTCCAAATTACTGAGAAACACAGACGCTGCTGCTCTCTGCCTGGTGGATTTGAAGCCCCGGGTGCATATGGCACAGCTTTATCCCCAGAAGTTTCACGTTGGCTTTATTACTTGTTAGGAGCTGCTCGGTAGAGGTGCACAAATCTCAGTTAGCTTCCGAATCCGGAGAACGGGCAGGGGACTGCAGGTTCTCACCGCACAGCGGAGGAAACCGGCAGCGGTTGTGACCAGAGCAGGTTCCAGATGGAGCCAAAACCAGACTCCTGAGGTTCCTGGCTCCTAGTCCTGGGCAGGCTGAGTGCAGGCATTAGCTCCTTTTGGGGGGGCTCTGTGCCTTGCTGCTGGATAGCTGCTCCTTCATCTGCGTGTGTCCTCCTGTTTTATCCAGCAATCGGATGATGAATGCGTCCTTGATCTTGATCTGATCACCGACCTCGTATTCCAGATTGATGCCCATGGGGAACCAGGTAGGTCCTGCCTTTCCTTATGCTGAGGGGGGAGGAAAGCGAACCCTGCAGAGCCCAGACAGACCCTTGGCAGAGATGCCTTCTGCAAAGCCACCTCGCATTCCCGTTGAGCTGAGCGGGCTCCAGCAGTGTGGCATGAGCCAATTCTGAGTCTTTGGCTGAGAATCCCAGTCCTCGGTGTCCTGGGGCTGGTCTGTGCTCCAGCATTTCCAGCCTCGTGCTGCATGACGTGTTGGAGACCCATCCCTGATAACTCTCTTTGCCTGGGAGGTGATGTTCTTGTGAAGAAGGCAAGATTCTCGGTGACTTCTAAGAGCTGTCAGTATTTTGAAGCTCGTAGGAGGCATTCACTCTCAAACTACAGGTAGCCTGGTTTGTTCCTGGCTTTAAAACCTTACAACGAGCTCCCAGAAGCAGATAAATTGTGGCAGGAATGATGTCCAGACATCTCCCTGGATCTGACTTCCCGTAAAGGCTGATCTGTCACTGTTATAAGCGTGACGCAGGTTTCCTCGGCGATCGGGGGGTGTCACTGACCCTGGGCCCTGCTTTTCTCGGGGTTTCTTGGGCTAAATGTCGCCTTGGACTTGGGGAAGTACCGGGTGTCCCTTCCGTGCAGCAGAAGCAGGTTTTGTCTCTCCAGCTGGGGAAAAGTGCTTGGATTTGTAGGCGGCTTGTTCTTACTCCTGCTCTGTTTCAGGTGGGATCCTTTGCTTCCTCCCTGGGTGGCAGGAAATCAAAGGAGTGCAGCAGCGCCTGCTAGAGATGCTCGGATCTCAGAACAGCCGGTACCTCGTCTTACCGGGTGAGAATCCTTTTTCTCCCCAGGATTCAGGGGAATGGCTGTGCCACGTGTGTTGCTGAGCCCCTTCTGCTGTTGCACAGATAGAGAGCAAGCTCGTAGGCTCTGCTGTGTGTACTGGTGGTGTAATTGTGCCCGTTAAGCACCAAGAACTCCCCCTCGAATAACGCCTCCGAGCAGAGGCCGTCCAGACGTGTATGGCATCAAAGAAACTGCCTTCCTGTTTGCCCCCCGGCAGCTCGGAATTAGGCGAGGAGGAGACTGCTGAACTCCTGCTGTAGCTGCCTGCTGGGCCTATGCTGTAAAGCTGGTTCGTGGGAGGGAGATGTTCTCTGTAGTTGAGCTCTGATTAGTGTGTTGAACATCCTCTGTCCCAGGAGGGAAGTTTATATCAACAACCAGGATTACTTTTCAAGGCTGTAAGATTGTGAGGGTTGGTTCGTTTGGGGTTTTCCTCCCTATTCAGTGTCAAATAAGGCCTCCCAGGAGCACACCAGGAGCCAGCTCCCTTGCTGACTGGCAACCAGGAGCAGCTCCCTTGCTAATAAACGGAGATGTTTTTTGGTGAAAAGTGCATGGTTTTGTGCTCCCCTGCTGTTCTGTGCTGTTCCTGGGAACTTGTCCACATCACTGATCTGTAACAGGGCAAATGTGTGATATAGAAGAGTTACAGGCCCTTGCTGAGAACTGTTTTTGACCAAGTGAGACCAAATGAGGATAAGGATACCCCATTCCCATGCCCCGTAGATATTCTGGAAGGGGGGAGCCTCGGAGCTGGGCTGAGGGAGAGAGTGGGCCTCGTGCCTGGGGCCCGGGGGTGTTGTGATGGTGCCATTAGCCTCTCCGGGACGGGTGGCGATCAGAGCTCTGGCTGATGTTGAGCCATAGGTTGAAGTAACTGAAACGAGGCTTTCCCAGATGATTTTTCCTGGGATCTCCCTCACAGGAAACCGCAGACACTGAGCACTTACGAGTGGTGTCCCTGTTCCTGGAAGGAGAATCTGCCCACCTTGGCCTTGTACTGCGAAGCAGGGCAGGACTGACTGGGTTTCTTTTCCAGTCCATTCCAACATCCCCATGATGGACCAGCAAAACATATTCCAGAGGCCTCCACCGGGCGTCAGGAAGATCGTCCTGGCCACCAACATCGCCGAGACCTCCATCACCATCAACGACATCGTGCACGTGGTGGACAGTGGCACGCACAAGGAGGAACGCTACGATCTGAAGACCAAGGTACTGACGCCTCCGAGGGCGTGTGGGACATGCCGGAGCGAACAGATCCTTTCGGAGCCACATTTAAGAGGCCGTTCATGGGATGATGAAGCTGCTCCCCACTTGGCCCTTGTTTCGGGCTCTGGCGAGCGCTTTCCGAACAATGTGAAGGCAGCCATGGTGCTGTTGCCCTTGGAAGAAGGGATTCTGGCTGTACACCGCTCCTGCTTCCCCTCCCTGTGCCGGGTGGTGATCCACACCTTGGAATAGTTGGAGTTTAAACCCCACCCTTTTATATTTGCCCTGTTTGAACCCAGTTCAGGTCACAGTGCAGACCCTGCGCTGCCCGCGCACGCTGCAGGGATGGTGTGGGGGAGGCAGGACCACGCTCCTTGGAACTGGATGGTCTCTAAGGTCCCTTCGACCCAAACCATTCCATGATTCCGCCGGCAGCTCCCAGCAGGGCAACGTGATGAGCCCCTGGGAAGCGGCGTGATGCGGAGCCAAGGCAGGTTTCCAGCAGATGGCGTCAGGGTCTGGCCCATGCACTGAGCGGCTCAGGCCTTCGCTGCTGCCTGCTAGACACTGGTGTCGCAAGATGCGGGAGGGTGGGAAAGGCCTTCCTTGCTTTTAGCAGGATGGTTGGTCAGTCGGGAGGAGTTTGTGGTCGGCGGCCTGGATGGAAAGCTGCATTTAGACAGGACAGAGCCGCGACAGCATTCATGCCTGATCCTCCTTCTCCTAGGTGTCCTGCCTGGAAACGGTGTGGGTGTCCAAGTCAAACGTGGTGCAGAGGCGAGGGCGTGCTGGCCGCTGTCAGTCGGGATTTGCCTATCACCTCTTCCCTCGCAGCCGCCTGGACAAGATGCCAACTTACCAGGTTCCAGAGATCCTACGGACCCCACTGGAGAACCTGGTGGTTCAGGCCAAGATCCACATGCCAGAGAAAACGGTAAACACAGCACGTGCCTGCGAGATGTGCCAACCGCTCGGAGTTCAGCCAGGCCAAGGGCCAG